ATGAGAGACATCTATTGTCTGCCACATACAATGCTGTCTTAAGGACCGGTTCACACCTGGACGTGTTGTAGCGCGTTCCTACGCTCTGCAAAACGCTCAAACACCGAAATCCCATTATTTCCTATGGGCGTGGTTCACACCCGGGCGTATTACAGGCCTTATGACCTGTAAAAACGTCCTACGCCCAAAAAAGTACAGGAACTTCTTGGGGGCGTTTTTGTCGCGCGTTTCCATTGGGATACAGCCAGGTAGCCCCTTTCCGAAACGCGTGTTTCGGAAAGGTGTGACCTCCATGATGTCTCCGGCGCCACGTGATTAACAGATTGCATTGATCGGTGCAACGCTCGCCATATCGGACGGTCACCTTTGTCTGCCTCTTACAGCTGATCGAGACGCTGGATGCCCAGTCTACATTGTCGCAGCGAGATCGCTGCCACGCGGCGTCTTTACTCACCGTGGCTCTGCACGGCAAGCTGGAGTATCTCACCGATGTCATGAAGACTCTGCTGTGCGAGCTGATAGAGCAGTGTGTGGCCAAGAACCCGAAACTGCTCCTGCGCAGGTAAATGTCCACGCTCTGACCACGCCATGAGACAGGTACACTTTGTATTTGGTACTGAGCAGATATCCTGAAATTTACCTTCTAGTGCTTTGTATCGGACTTTTAACATTTTGTAATGTTTCCTGTTCATTGTACAAAGTATAGAGATTTGTAGATTGGCCACTAGAGGGCGCTCTGGTCATCTGACCCTTACTGATTAAAGGAGAACTATGAGGGGGGAGGGGCTTTTCACTCACCTCATAGTTCTAGCCGACCTGTGACGATGAGACTGTCACAGGTCGGCTCAGTAGATCGGGAGGTGAGAGAACACATACCGGCGCTCGCTCACCTCTCGATCCTGTCACGGCTCTCTGTCGTGACAGGGGAGGGGCTGGATTCCCCCCTCCCCGCTCCGATCTGCCAGCGCTGACTGGCGGAACGGACGGGGGCGGGTACAGCTGGCTCTGCCTCTAGATAGGCGGAGCCAGCTGTCAGTCACGCGGCTGGGCGGATCCCGTCATCTACGTCAGGATCCGCTCCGGCTGCGGCGTCTCAGTATACCGCGAGCTGTAGCTCCCTATATACTGAGCCTAGGGTGACGGGAGGACGCTAGTTTATATCCTCCCGTTACCCTAAGGAGAACTATGGGGGAAAGCACTGACCCCGTACTTCTCCTTTAACAACTATGAAGCTCCAGGGGGCTTTTTGAAAAAGTTTTTTAAAGCTCACTTACGCTGTCACCAGTTAGTAGAAGGATCAGCATCATAAAAGATAGGGATGGACCAATACCGGTATCGGTGCCAGTACTAAATGCCGCAACATTAAGCGCCGATACCGGTGCTTTTAAACAGAAGCGGCTGCCTGAGGTCCCCGCACTTGCTGGGGACCTCGGCAGCCTTCCTGTTTACAGCGCCAGCTGCACATCTCCTCCTCCTAGTCTGGATAACCACGCCGCCTGCACCGCTATCCGGACCCCTGGGGGAGACCCCACACAGCAGCCATAGACCTCGCGCAGCTTCCCGAGACCCCCCCCCAGCCCTCCTGAGATCCTCCCCCGGGGACATCAGGCCAATACCCGGAGCAGCATAGAGTATGTAGCTTCATGTTATTCTGCATTGCTGGGATTTGTAGTCCAGGGTTAACCCCCGTCAGTGTTGCTGGACTCCTTTATCTATAATGGGCACAGGGTGGGCGCAGCATATCCACTCCACACATAAATCTGGGATAATAGTTCCTTGTAACCCCAAGAGGTCTGATGGGGGGGGGGTCTCCATAGTCCTAGGTCCATAGTCGCTGGGAAGGAGGGT